GAAACATACAGGAACTATCATGTTGTTTGGCTGATGGTTTTTGCGGCTGATAAGCTGGCTGATGCTGTTTTGTTGCGCGATATACCATGGCTGATAAGTTAAAGCAAACAGGGCGCATGTATGAAACAGTGCAGTGACTGACGGTGTAAAAGATAGTGAAATGAACCCCGACCCTGGCAAACTCCCAATTGTATCCTACCCTCCGCCACCCACCCCACCAAAAACAATGGGGCAGATAATAAATCACAGAAGTATACACACGATTTGGATAGCACAAAATCGATTCTCTGCCGCGACGCGCACACCTAGAACGACGCATCCATCACAGCAGAGCCAGAACCGCTGCCGGCCGCGGCCCCTAAAACCCCCCGAATCCCTCCGGAAAAAGGGGTAGAAAACCGCATCACCCTGGACGCCTGAGCCCCAACCGCTCCCGTGACAACGACGCCGCGAATGGGAGCGGAGCGGAGGCGCCCGGAGGCGACGACCGAACCCGTGTCCCCCACCCCGCGCCCCAACATCTCGGTCAACCCCCGTGCCTCCCCCGACCTCGGAGCCTCCACCCGCCGAGCGGACCGGCGCCCCGCCCCGCCCCGCCTGCCGTCCCACGAACCCGCGCCGAATCGAGACGGAGCGGAGGAGGAGTGGAGGGGAAGGAGAAGGGAAAAAAAATCTCACCTCGCGTGCTCCGCCCTCGGTCGCTGCGGCTGCCGCTCCCCCGTGCTCCTCTTCTGACTGGCTGGTTGGCTTGGCTGGCTCTGCGGCGCTGCGAGAGGGAGAGGTGGGGGCGTGGGGCGGTTTCAGGAGGGCTTGCTGCGTGCGCCCGCGTCGTCCTCGCACACTGGGCCGGGCCGCGTGGCGTGCTGAAGCGGGGCGACGGGTTCGGGGTTATCCTCACGCACCTGCCTGGTCCCGGTGCACGGGGAGCGTCTCGTGCGGTCGCCCGGAGAGCCGTCCGTTGCGCTGGATCGCGGGGTCGTTCGTAGATAAGGGTGCCTTCGCTTGGAGGCTTGGAGATAAGGGGAGGGGCTGTACTTCGCTGGCAGGTAGGACCCGGCGACTGGCGTGTGTAGTGTAGGTTGCTTGGCCGGGCCCCCCTAGTTTGTTTGACCCGAAGCCAAGCTGAGGCTGGCGCTGTCCCCTAGTTTTATTTCTGAAATGGTTTTCTATCCGGCTTTTATAATCCGATTTTAAGACCATATATCTACTGTGATTGCTGTAAATTATGTATATAATTTTTAAAAAAAATATGAATTCAATGATATAATTGAAATTATTCTTATTACAACTACTTATTATTCAGAAGTAAGATAGACTAGCGGTCCTTAAATTTATTGAGTTGTGTCAACCCATTCCCTGAATTACCAAATCGCACACTTAGCTACCTGAACATTGGGTTTCGCTTTAGTCCTGTATCGGGTTACAATCTGTGACCCAATGACGATGTCGAATCTGGGAGGTCCACCGGTCCACCCCAATCCCAAATCGTTGTCCACCACCGCTTCTCTTTTGTTGCTGCCATCGGACACTCCCTCCCCGTCCAGCTCCATCACATGCGTCCTCCCTGTCGTGGTCCACCGCACACGCTCTGGCCGCTAACGCACCCTCCCCATCTAGCCACGCCACGGCGCTGCCCTTGTCCTCCGCCGTAGCTCTTCGCGCTCCTCGTCTAGATCTAGCAATCTTCAGCCTGTTCGCTTTGTCGTATTTAGCTTATAAGCCATGGCTTATCAGCCAACGAACAGTATTTTCCTCTCACACCAAACCAACCAACAGTATTTTCAGCAATGGCTTATAAGTCAAACCAGCCCAAACGAACAGGGCGTTTACTCCTTGAAGGTGTCATATTCTAATTTCCAATCCTTCCGAACAATTCTACCAAAGCTGGTAATACTCATCTTGCATCTCAAAATTCAACACCCACTTCTTCTTATAGTTGTGACTCCCACGGTATGACTTCACGAGAAATGATCTAACCATGTTGTCCAATGATGCATATAGATTCCAAGAGCATCCTTCAGCACAATGAGCCCTCAATCTTCTCTTGTCATTCCTAGGTAGTTTGATTTCTACTCTATTTCTCAGACTATGCTCTGTTATTGCCTCTCTAAGCTTCTCAACTGATGGGAAAACAAGCCCAACAAAGAACGTTGGGTTGCTCATGTCCTCTGGATTTCATGAATTGAACCTCAGCCTCTGTTCTTCTTCCCCATCTGATCGCGGCAGTTCCAGTCCCTCATCCTCGGTGTCAGTTTCTTCATGAACTTGAGGCGGTTTACTGATCACAGTAGCCTTCACCTAGCTACCTTTTGCCTTTTTGTTGCCTTTGACTTGTTTGGCCTCCAAATGAATAGCATCCTCCATGAGATCATCATCTCAACCACAAATTTCATTGTCACTATCTATGAACTCATGGAACTTCAGATCCATTGTCAGCTTCATGATCAGGTTCCTGGCTTGGTACAGCTTGATCAACTCTTACTTTCTTTAGATTACTATAGAACATACGTAACTTGTCTCATGTCTTCTTTTCAGCAAACAATTTTATGGTGGCTCAATACCTTAGGAAATTCATTCATTGGATTGGCAACAATGTCATCCCAATCAACACTTACCAAATTGTCATCATGATCAACATACACAACCCGATTCTTCACCTTTCAATCACACTGATCATCAGATTTGTATCATCATCATCTGATGCAATCACCATCAATCCATTAGCAAGATTTTTCCCTGGCACGGCCAAAAGATTGATGTTTCTGTTGTTCTCATATCCTAGTTGTTGAAGGAAATCCTCAAACCACAAAGCAGACTACTTCTCAAACTCGATCCAGTCGAACCAGTCGATTTTCTCATCCACATACGACCTGAGATGACCAAATCCAACAAAGAAAACCCTCATGGTGTAACTCAATCGGAAATTCATCAACACCAGAACCTACATTAGCAGTGCACCTTGATCAGTTTATCACTCAAATTCAAAACCCTATCAATTACCCCCAAAACCACAATCAATAGACCAAGAACAATCCTTCTTATCTACCCTTACCACTACAACTCCGAAAATCAATATCCATAACCCAGAAATTGACAAAGCGGAGGGGATGTTTAACTCACTCTATGGCTGTGGCGCCTCCACTTTCCCTCGTAGCAACGACACCATCCTCACCCAGTGGTTGTGACTTGCTCCGATGTGTGGCTTTGTCATGGCCTCCTTTTCTCCTCGATTTGGCAACCTCCTTCTACCACCGATCGCTGCCAGAGCCAATCTTGTCGCCATCGTCAAGATGAAACAGAATAGCATGGGATGAAACGTGGAGGAGCTGGTTTCCACTTTCCAAATACTCATCCAATTTGGCAACAACATAAGAGCTCAAATATTGAACCGTCATTATGGACCACACGTCCAGATCTGATAGGATTAAAGCGAAACCCAAACAATATTCAGGTAGCTAAATGTGCGATTTGATAGTTTAGGGACCGGAACAAATTTGGTTTAAGGACCGGACCAGATAGCTAAACGTGCAATTTGATAGTCTAGGGTCCGAATCGTTAGCATACTTTACTCTATTATTTATATATATACTCATACTTTAAACCCCAATTTGTATATAAACCATAACGCAATCTAACAACCAGACCATCTAATCGACAAATCATCTATAAATGTCACAACGTAGATCCGAGTTTGAACTATCCAAGTCCACAATCACAATAAGAATAACTCAATATATATGGTTTTTTGTCTTTGTTACCCGCAGGCCTGCGGCCCGCACGCGACCTCTCTCCTCTCCCTCCCTCCCCCTCTCTCTCTCTCTCTCTCTCTCTCTCTCTCTCTCTCTCTCTCCACCACGCCATGGTCGCTGCGGCTTCGGGCGGACATGGAGGCTTTGGGCGGATCCGGTGGCAACCATGGCGGATCTAGCGAGCGACTGCGCCCAACCGTGGAGTCGGACGACATGGAGACTTCGGGCGGATCCGGTGGCGGCCATGGCAGATCCAGCTAGGTATGTCGCCCTCCTCCTAGATCTATGAGTTAGTGTTCCGGTGAGCTCTCTCTCTCATCTTCCACAAACTCCAACGGGCTTAGGAAGGGAAGGTTTGGGGGGGGAGGAAGGCGGGCTAGGCAGTGGGGATGGCTGGAGGGCTGTTAGGCTAGGTCGGGGCAGGGGCATTGCGACAGTGGAGCAGGGGGAGAAGGTCATGGCGGCAGCAAGAAAGGGGAGGCTGGGAAGGTTTGGAGGGAGGAAGGCCGGTCAGACGGTGGGGATGCCTGGAGAACGGTTAGGGGCCATGACGGCGATGGAGCCGGCCGAGATAGGTCGGGGAAGGGGCGTTGCGACGGTGGAGCTCGGGGAGAAGGTCATGGCGGTGGCGAGAAAGGGGAGGCCGCCGTGGGCGATGAGTAGAGCGTGGCCAGCGGCTAGGAGGAAGAAGGGGGAGGGGAAGGGAGGACGCACGCAAGGTTGAAGACGGTCTTGCGTCGCATGGCCGTAATTTAGCTGCGTCCATTTTATATTAACCAGCAGAAAATATTCTGACCTCAACGCATACATAAGACCGAAGACTGCTGTGTACTCGAAAAACTTCAAGCCTCATTAGGTTCTGGCTGCATAAGGTTCTTAAGGTTAAGGATACAGATCCACGAAATGCCGTTTGATCGGAAGATACTGGTAGGAAATAGTATGAATAATTGTTCACATTCCCAGCACGCAGCTTAGAACAGCGAACAAATGGAAGCGCTAGACAATAGCCCGCAGTTTCGTAATCTATATGCAAAGATTAGGCATTCAACTAGCAAAAGAGCACACAGAACATAGACACTGCAGGTCTGCAGTAGAGCACAAGTCCATAAGGCCAGAATCCATAGAAGGCCAGAACATGTTCCCAAAACATCCGCTACAAAACTTAGTACGGCAAGGTAACAAGAGTATCACAGGTTGGTTTTGACAAATGAGACTTGTTCGCTGCACCACAGCACCAGCACCAGAACAAACTTAAGCCTTGAGCTTGCCATAGAACCTCTGCTTCTCGTCGGTAGTCTGGAAGCGACCGTGCCCAAACTTGGATGAGGTGTCGATGAACTTGAGCTTGATATCCTCCAGGGCCAGCCGAGAAGTCTGCTTCAAAAGGGACTGGCGGAGGGTCACCACCCTCTTCTTCGGACCCACGCAGCAGCCCTTGATCATCAGGTAGTCGCCCTTCACTATACCATAGTGGGGGAAGCCACCCATGGGAGTGATGTCCTTCTCAGTCCTGCAGATACCAGCCATTCATTAGCAACAAGAGCAACGAAGGTAAAGCAGATTGTGCAAGTTACTACAGATTCATGTGGTTCTCATTTAATGAAACAGTGCTTCAGAGAAGCTCCGAAATAGTACCTGTCAAACTCTGTGGAGGCATCATGGGACTCTTGTCCAGTCTTGCCAATCTTGTAAACCTTCTTGTTCATCTCAGTACGGTGGTGGTACCCATTCTGACCAGCACGGGCAACAGTGTAGGATACCCTAGCCGGATGCCATGCACCGATACAAGCAACCTTGCGCAGACCCCTGTGGGTCTTGCGAGGAAGGCGGGTGACACCCCAACGAGTGACCACACCCTCATAACCCTTACCCTTGGTCACACCAATAATGTCAATCATCTCATCCTTCTGGAAGACAGCATCAACCGGGACCTCCTTCTCAAAGAACTTGTAGCCATAGTCCACCTTGTCAGCAATGGTACCACCATTGACCTGAATCTCCATGAGGTGAGCCTTCTTCTGCTTCAAACCCTTCATCTTCTTAATCTGAAAGATAGAAATACAGAAGAGGTCAGATTTTGCTAATAGGCCTACTTCACTGCAGGCACTGAAGTACAATGAAAGTTTTAATTTAATAACAAGACAAGGATCGTAACACACATAAAAAACTCAACATGATCATTGACAGATAATACAATGGAAGTTGAAATTTAATAACAAGGATTGTAACATATATATTTAAATAAAACACAACATGATCATTGACATATAAATAAGCATCCATTTGACTACACAAGGATTGCATAAATAAAACTAATGAAGCCAAATAAGAGACCAATAGTAATTGCATTATCAATCATTAAGAAACTTTGTTCCTACAAATATGAATGAGCAACAGAGAACAATTAGGCTTCTTACCTGGGTATGGGCAACGACACGGACAACAGAAGCATATTTCTTCATCTTCTCAAGCTGCAGCTGAATTTCTTTCTTGCCAGCATCACTGTCATACTTGAGAGCATACTTGGTGAAAGCCTTCTTCTTGCTCTTGCACCAATTCTTGTAGAACCTTCTCCTCACTTCTTCGCTAAGATGCTGAGCCCAAACAGTGTTGAGTGTGCGGAGGCCACGAGGAGTCTTCACATATGCCACAAGCCCAACAATGACAAGAGGAGGGGTTTCAATGATGGTAACAGCCTCACAGGTTTCCTTTTTGTGGAGTTCTGAAGAAGATCAAATAGGCAGGGCAGTTATGATCATGGAGTAATACATGTACTCAAGATTCATCAGTGTATTCAAAAAGAAAAAAAACTATGTCTTGAGTAATTCCATGGACCTGTGAAGAAATACTTGTGTGGCTTATCATCTAAAGTTAAGTGTTTTCAAATACATAAAAAAGTAAAACTGTTGGCTGGAAATCGTCCATATGTTACAATTCATTTTTCAGATATAAAAAACTGGACAATGTGATCAAATCAATTGATTACTAAAAAAGAGAAGGGGGGTGGACATACTGGATCCAGGCTTCTCGACCTCACGCACAATGTGAGTCATGCCAGCCTTGTAGCCAAGGAAGGCAGTGAGGTGGCAAGCCTTCTTGGGGTCATCCCTGGGGAATGACTTCACTGCAAAAACAGGGAAACTAGTATCAGATTGTCTGGACACGAAGTAAACCTGCCAAAGGAATGTGCATATCATACTAAACAGGTAAAAGCACTTAGTGCAGCATGACATATCATACTAAACAGATAAAAGCACTTAGTGCAGCATGAATGACCAAAACAAACCATAGTTTAGTATTCACAGCAACATAATGTACATCACGTTTTCAGATTATACATGATGACAGTGTCGGATTGCACATACATATGCAAATCTTTCACTGAAGCAAGACAAACCTATGAAAATCATTACATGACGAATAACAATACCACAAACGCAGCACAAGTGGAGCATCACTGAATGAGTTGTTTAACTAGAAGTAACATAAATAACACTTCAGTTCTACAAGCTGAAGCGTAGAACATATCAGATCACGATGTATGGAGACAAGGCATGTCAAAGCAGTGGTTGCAAACTAGAGAGACCTAAAGATACACGAACTACACAATCGGCAGGCTCACGCAAACGAATCTAACAACCGTGGGGAAACACGAACGACGGAACCATCAGACAGAGAGAGTGAGAGATGCGTGCATACCCTTGCCGCGGTGGCGGGAGGACCGCTTCCTGGGGAGGAAGCCGAGGGAGCCGTGCCTCGGGTGCTCGAACTTGCGGTGAGACATCCTCGCCTCCTCCTCCTCCTCCTTACCTGCAGGACATCACAACAAACCCATCAGATCCGCCGCGAGCACAACGTGGGCGGCTCGCCCCCGCGGCGACGAAATGGCCGCCGCCGGCGAGCGAGCGAGGCGAATCGAGGCGGGAGGAGTTTACGCCGGCGGCGCATTCGTTACGCTCACCTGTGTGTGTGTGTGCGCGCGTAAACCCTAGGAGAGGTTATATAGGAGGGTCCCGGGTGCGAGGGTTTCGTTCACGCAGGACTGAAATGTCCCTGTTGAAGTATGGGCTGTTGGTCTGGCCTTCTGGGCTGTGGTATTGTGGGTTCGGCCCAGTACTCTGTTTTCGTTTACATGCCAATTTCCTCTACTTAATGTCCCTATATATGTTTCGTTTTTATTACTACTTTCTCTGATATTGTTCTACTTTATTACGAAGTCAAAAACATAGCGTGTAATTGAGCGACATATATATATTACAAAAGAATTAAAATTTTATTTTTGTTTTCTTTATTGTGCAACCTTTTGGTTGATTCAGTTGGCATGATAGAACAAATACCAATTTGTTTCAAAAAAAAATAGAACAAATACCGATTTAAAAAAGGCGTACCCAGTACAGAGAGCTCCCGCTATGTGCGGGGTCTGGGAAAAGGTGTCAGTGGCTAAGCCTTACCCTCGCCTGTGCAATGCGAGGAGACCGCGACTCGAACCCGAGACCTTCCGGTCACAAGCGGTAAGCATCAGGCCCGCCCTTCAACAAATACCGATTTGTTTCAAAAAAAAAAAAAAAATACCAGCCGGCATTTCATTACAGAAAATAGCATCGCTGATATGCTTAGGCTATTGGCTTGAATCAGGTTTAGTAGCATAGGTGACATTCTTACCCTGGTTGTCAACATTCTGAACAGAACCATGTATTTCTGTAATGGAATTGGGCAGCGAGCCTCATCTTTTTCAGAAGAAAAGGATATAGAAAATATTTATATATACGATGCAGAATATTCAGCTTCACATGCCATTTCTTTAGCATTCAAGCGCCAAGCATGGAAAAAAAAAGCTTTTACATGGACAAACCTATCAAATGTAATCTTACAAACGTGTGCTTATGTACTGTCTGCACACTGCACTTGTATGATTTGTATGAATGAATGGCTGAGATTCTGCTCTTCCAGCACCGGTCTGAACTCAACAAGGTACAAAATTACAAGTCACCCACATATCTCAAGTCAAAAACACCAAAACTAAAAGAATGATGAAAAGAATCATGAGGAACGCGATCATCATGATCTGCCCTTTCCAGCTGGCCTTCTTCATGACCATAGCCACTCTTTTCTGCACAAACAAAAGGGGAAGAAGTTTCAGGGTGTTGAACTCCCAAGTCAGAAGAAAGCAAGTGAAACATATTCTGCCAGCTTTGTAAGTGTAACTGGTAATACAGCGGCAAAAATGAAATTTCATAATATGCTTGTTGAACTGTTAGGAAAATGAGGGGGCAGGGTCTCCTAAGAAAAGTAAACTGTGCTGGAGCAGAAAGTACAAAAGACACCTGCACAAAGTCAAGCCGATTCGTAGTAGTTTCCATATCGAGGCTAAGCTCGTCCAGAAGCTTCTCCTGTGCAACGTGCAAAGGGAGCATAAATATCAGCATGAGAAAGGGTATGAAATTTGACATAACACAGTAGATATGCACTTCGTGTAAAAAAGGAAGGTGGGAATGGAGTTCATAGGAATTATTGTACATGCAAAAAGAAAATACCTGTCCGACAAGCTCATCATGAATAGTAAGACCTACACCTCCAATTCGCTGTACACTAGCACTAAGCGCATCCAACTCCTCATCTTGCCGCCTATTGAAGATGTAAATATAACTAGTATTAAACCAAAGCATAATAATTATATTATGAAAGGTGTCATTCAGTTCATCCAAGGATCATGTTTAGCATTCATCATCTTCCATGCACCAGAAGTTTAGTCCATTTAAGCTTGATGAAGTGCTAGATTAGTAGATTGGGTACTAGAGCAACATAACACTTAGGAAACAAGCTAAGTTTCATGGAATTACTTTATCAGGAGCATCTGCTGATCAGATTCTGAAGCAATGAATTCATCATCGTCTTGTGCAATATTCTTCTTCGATCTGATTGATTCACAAGGATTGTTTGAACGTCCATAGACACTCTTCTGTCTTCCACCTTCAACACTTCGCTTTAAAGCAAGAACCTGTGTCGTGTGAAACCGCATGAGACGCCCCATAATACTTGGATATGTTATTGCAGTGAAATTATGATTTAAATGTGCTCACATCACTAAAAACTATCCTGTGAAAGATACCTGGTTACGTGCAGTGCTAGTCCAGCTCCTTCTTCTCCCAATTTCGGCCTCATTAAGTCCGTAGTATGCTGGATCTCTCTCAGCAACATGAATTGCCTTCTCCAATTCATCCACCTTTTTGTAAAATTAAAGGTTGCAACAAGTGAGTAATGGACCGTGGCGATATGACAAAAGAAGCAGATCATAATTTACTAAAATCATTCTGGTACTTAACATAACAGGACTACATGAGTGATTGATACCGCCTGAGATGTTGCAAACATGTAAAGGAAAAAGTCTAACACGGACTTCTTTCTAGCATGGATTGGGTAATAAAGTGCTGGGGAGTTCTTGCTCCACAGTTTTGCTTCAAAAAATTAATAATAATACAAATGGTGAGAAAATTCCATGCACCTGCCACTGGATACTTTCACAGCTGGTTAGTAGTTCTTTGGTCAGATGCACATACTCTCCAGTATTTTCAGGTGTCTGCTTCCTTTGGTGGAAAGTATCTTGCACTTTGATCAATCTATAAAATAACATGAAAAGAAGCAAACTTTAGTCATATGCATCATAAATGAGTATGACAAATTCTGGGATCGGAATATGACTAGTAGTGTAACAGCTAATATTTTGAATATTGCCATACATATTATCAGCATATGTTTCCAACATCTATGAGAATATAATAGAATGTATCATTGTAGAAGCAAATGTTAAAACTTATACCAAACCAAGCAACTGGGGGAGGGACAAATGCAAATAAAAACTGGACATCATTAACAAGCTTCCCAGTACAACAATGGTAAATATTTGGTTCAACGACTTTGCATAGCATCAGCGCACAACTCAAGTTTTGACAGGAGTACATGCTTGAGCTTGGGCTGAAGAATTATCTCGTTAAGTGTTTAAGCCTTTTAGACATCAGACTCAGACCTAATGCTATATTGCAGTCTTCGTTTTGTCAGCCAAGTTGCACCATACCTTAATTTTGATCTGCCACTGCGAATCAACATATGCAGCTAGTACTTAAAAGTCAAGCAAAGTAGTTCCCCACCACAGATCCATGTAGATGTATCCTTGTAATTTACCTAGCTACATTATATTCTCTGCAATTGCCTCCCACACATGTACAGCAATGAGACAGAACAACCTAGGAAATGGATCCAGAGCTGCAAATTCTCGCAAGTGAGGTCGAAACCCCCCATCCCAATACCCAGTGACCTACATTTAAGCAGCCACGAACACAATAAACTGAGAGAAGGCGGGTAACCGCATGAAACGGAGTTCGGCTCTTCAGAATTTCAGATTCATAACCAGTCTGAACTACACACATTGACCAAAAAAGAGGTACATTTTCCGTATTTTTCTCATAAGCGGTTCACCAGACTAAAGAAATAGGGACCCCCCAAAAAAAAAAAGGGACAAGAGAAACAGCGTTAGAACAATGCCTGATTCACTGCTCCCTATGGCCTGTGCAACGGCCACCCGACACGCGCACGAGCTAGGATGCTGACGAATGAGCAATTGAGCATCAAACAAGACCGACGCGGATACAAGCGACGAAACAAACGGACGGATGGAGCAATGGGGGCGGGCGGGTGGAGAGCAGCTCACCGAGTCCTGGATCTCGTCCTTGACGATGTAGAAGGGATCCTGCGCGGGGGTCATCCTCTCATCGCAGTGCAGGAGTAACCCAGGCTCGAACTGAAACTCGATGGAGGCGGACCGAATCCGGCAGAGATGGCACCGACGAAATCAACTGGCAGGAGCTGGGTCAAGACGAGATCCGGCTCCATTGGCGATCCCCTGCCTTGCCTCCTCCGCTCGGTTTGGTGGCAACTGGCAAGTGGCATCGCCAACGAGAAGGAAGGGGTCAGGGAACTGACGGGCGGCGTGGGCGTCGACTTCGATCTTGGTTGGCGTTGGGCCCGGAAAGTGAGAAGTGGATCTTCATGGCCTGTATACTCCGTCCCATTTCGGCCTGGTTTGTGCGTGAGTGCGCACTCTGCTTTCCATTCTGCCGGCGCAAATTTACGTTAAAAAAACTTTTTTCTGGCGGAAATTTACATTAAAAATATAATTTTCTGGCGCAAAAGCTGTCAAAGCGTGGATCGATCAGTGAACTCCTCGCACACCAGACCACTCGGCACACGCTAGACGAATAACCGAGGTGCGCTGGAATCGCGCGGTTTGCATATGAAGAAACGTGTATGCCGGACCGTGGAATGAGGCCCGCTAAGTGCTCTCTATTTCGTATTTGTAGGATACAGAGACCTTCGAAGAGCGTTAGAATCTCCGAGGTCTGTAAGAGTAACTCCAAGTCTCCAACAGTAACACCTATTTTCGATTTAGTTGTCCACCCTCATTTTTGTTAGACCAAATTTGTGCTTCCGCTCCACCGGTAGCACTCAAATAAAGGCCCTCAAATTTCTTTCCTTAGCTACCGACACATGGGATCTGCCTGTCAGCGACTCTCCCTCTCTCTTCCTCGTTTCCTTTTCTTCACGTTCTGCGGAGGGGTCCGGCCGCCGGAGCTCGCAACCGGCGCCGCAAGAGGGAGCACACGGCCACACTGCCGGAGGAAAGAGGGGGCACGCGGCTGCGCCACCGAAGGAGACCGTGCCGCCGGAGGAGAGAGGAACCAGAGGCGAGCGTGAGGGAGATCCGGTGGGTACCGGGAAGGGCAAATCCACGCCGCCACGCCTCCGGGTGGCCGCGCAGGCCCTGCGTCGCCGCAAGCCTTACCGGAGGGACGGGAGGGGAGGGAAGAGCCGCGCGTGGGGCTAGAGGAGCCATCAGGAAGGCCGGATCTACACCGTCGTGCCTCAGGTGGCCGTGCGAGTCCTGTGCCGTCATGTCTGTCATGTCGCGGGTGCTGCCCAAGGGAGGGAAGGTGCTGCCACACTGGTTCCGTGCATGGGCGGGAGGAAAACGGCCAAAAACGGCCTTTTGCATACCCAGAGCTGGCCCCCAACAATGGGTACCAGAGGGAGGATTTGAGTGTGCACCCAAATTTGGGTGCTCTAGTAGGGTACAGGGCTCATGTAGGGGCTCTGCTGGAGTTGCTTTAATACAACTCCCTATTTTTATTTTTAGAAAAAGAAAAAGTATTATCTATCAGTTTGGTAAAAAAACTCTTTAATAAAATAAAAAAATATTAAATATCTTTTCTAACTCGTAGGTTTCCGCAGTCGAGATGAACTCTGTATCCGCTTCCCATTCGATGTTTTTCTCGGAAACTAGAGTAAATTGGGTGCATAAGTAAGTAAAAAAATAAATGGATGAGAAAGCAATAAGAGACAAATAAACTATTAAAAAATTAGTTGGTTAGAAATAGTTTGGGGTTTCCAATGCAAAAATTATTTAAAAATTATTATAGCAGATGGTTGGTGAGAATAAAACTTAAGGTTGTTATTTCTTCTGTTAACTTGCTAGATATATATAAAAAGTAAACTGTACCAAACTTCTTGAGATGCTCTAAGGAGAGGGATCTCATCAGGGCTCTAGGTTCATTAAGGTGACCTAGAACACCTCAAGGCACCGTAGAGGCAAAAAGGGGATAGCAGATACTCCCTCCATCCTTGAAAAAAAGTCACTATGGTATACGTGCAGGTCAAACTTTCTCAACTTTGACTAGGTTTATAGAAAATGTGTGTAATATTTATATCTTCAAATAAGTTTATTATGAAAGTATATTCAACAATCTATCTAATGATACTAATTATATATTATAAATATTAATATTCTTTTATATATAATTGGTCAAAGTTTTGACTTCTTGAGAAGCGAGAACGACTTCTATTTTAAGACAGAGGGAGTACATGAGTTAAAAAAGCTAGAATCTGGGAAAGATAAAATAGCATATTTGTTTTATTTTTTATCGATTGAATGCCCTTAACCGTCCATGGCACCAGCCCTTTATATTTATAGGATGTGTTAGGATCATCTCTCTCGGGCCAAAAACTTAACTAGATAGTCTTTCATTGGCTATCATTAGTTAGATAAATTAACTCAATCGATCGTCCCGATATACTACCCGTATAGTGTACTAATGTCTGATCTTCGTCCATGACCATTACAACCGAGATATACATTACAACTCATTTCAAGTTCACGTCACAATTAAAAGAGGTAGTTAAGTTTACAAGATGTTGTCCCAAACACTTAGCCATCACACAAACATTCAGTGTACAAGTAGAAGTCTTAATTCTAACAACATAAGTTTGATACATGCTTATGGTAAGCATGGCACATCCATAAGCCTATGCCACATAGGGCAATGATCTACCACTCATGATCCTGGGAGGACTTAGGGGCATAGAAGAAGCCATACACAGTGGTTGTCGTACTTGTAAAAGCTTAAATAACAAGATGATGAGTACACAGTTATACTCAACATGACTTACCCATATAACAATAACAAGGAATTATGCACTTTAGGATTGTAGCAAGGAATATGGTTGGTTTTGCATAAAAACATTTATACATAAAGCAAAGTGACTATATCAACTAAGCAAGCATAGCCGTTGACAAATATGAAGCAATTAGTAAAGGTGGAGCTCGATCTTACATGAATCTGGTTCTTATCACTAGTTTGTATCTAGAAGCATAGAACATAATACTTTGAACTTTGTAGAGGGGGTGCACAATAACCCTACCAAAGACAAAGGATACCACTCATACGACCTATCAGTACATAAGGGGTATCTCGTTGCCGCAACCTTTCCCAAGATGTTGGATGGGGTTATATGGCGTGAGGCCGGTGGGGTTCTGGGTGGTGTTGGATGGGGTAGAGGATGTGTGGCTCGATGGCGGTAGGATGGGATCAGGTGTTTCTAGGCCAATGTTGTTGCCTTCCGTGAGCGAGCAGAAGCGAAGGCCATTCGGAGCCTAGCCTTAATTGTTCAAGTTTCTTAAGTGCTCTATTCTAGGTGTGTTCTTTTCAAAACTAAGATTGACAGAGGTGGTTTGTGAGCTTACCTATAGTGATTTGGTGCTTGAGTTCACCAAGCTCAAGCTCGTCATCTTGGTCTTCTTGCACCCATAAGAGTGGTTCCTTTGCTTGAGGGTGAGGGAACTGCATCAAGCATGGGCATATGGATTAGAGATGAGGATGAACTCATGAGATTGAGTTGAGAGGGATTTTAGGCTTACACTTGGGATTGGCTTAGAGATTAAGGTCCTAGGCTCACCTTCTTCTCCCAAGCATGGAATTCTTCTCCAAATTCTCCTCACTTTCTTGCTTTTACCTTTACGCTTCTTGTTCTTGGTCCTAGAAAGAGAGAGAATGAAGAGTGGTGATCGAGATGAGAATGTGGAGGGTTAGTGCTGGTGATTTGGGTCTTGCTTGGGCTACCATGTGGGGACAAGTGGAGAACACATCATCTACTTGTTTGCTGAGTCACTAGTGTCTCATCAGACACTATGATGGTCCATTGTAGACTGCATTTTGTTGACTAGTCAACTAGGGTTAACCAGGATCGATGGACAGTTCGAGTCTCCGAGAAACAACATCAGGTAGTTTGTGGATTCATTGGGGTTCTGATTTGATGCCAAACTTAGGAGATATGATCCCTGAGATGTTGCTTTAATTTAGTTGAGAGATTTGCAAAGTGTCGGGGACTGATTACTGGGGTACCCAAAGAGGGGGAACTAATAACCATCAAATGTTGATGCTTCCAAATAGTCGGGAACGCAACTACACTCCTTATCCATACAACTGAAGGTTGGCTGCGCCTCGCCCTACCCCGAAGGGTTGGCTCCTCCTCACCCGACGACCGGGGACTGGCTTTGCCTCGCCCGATGGCTAAGGGCTGGCTCCGCCTCGCCCAACGGTGAGGGCTGGCTCTGCCTCACCAGACGTCTCAGTGCAGGCTCCGCCTCGCCCGACAGCTAAGGGTTGGCTCCGCCTCACCCGACGACTGAGGATAGGCTCTGCCTCACCCGACATTTGAGGGCAGGCTCCGCCTCGCCCGACGGCTGAAGGCGAGCTTCGCCTCGCCCGACGTTTCGGGGCTGGCTCCGCCTTGCCCGACGTCTACACCCTGCCCCTTTATAATGATGAGCACAGGGTAAGACAGGACACTCAAGTCAACTGTAGTACCGAGGACCATGCCCTGCGCACCTACAAGAAGGTACCATCAGGATACGACGGGATGGGCGCTTTAAGCCCTACCAGGCATGGCAGAGCCCGAATAGTGTTGTAGGCGCTGACTTTTGTCCTACAGTGTTGTGGGCGCCGCCATCAGCCCTAGGGCGTGGATCCTAACACAGGCATACGATAACCACTATAGTCCAGGGGGGAACTCACATCATTAATAGTAACGAACGTATGGTCACTTCCCCATCTGCTCCCCGTAGGGTCACGACTCGGTACCCTAACGCGCAACATCGTCTGCCGGAGTAGGATAGGACGCGACCACTAGCTAACCAAAGCCAAGGCACGGCCCTATCAGGATCAGCGAAACGTGCTATCCCTGGCATGGTCTGCCATGACAACAGGGTAGGCTCGAGGGAAAAAGGAAGACCTGGCACCTTGAAGGACCCTCTCTACCTCTGGTTTTTCCCTCTTTCTCCCATCTGTAATCCCTGCTCCCCCTTGGTCTATAAAAGGGAGGCCAGGGCGCCCCACTAGGGAGGGATCAATTTTGACACACAACACATCACAC